CGGGAAAACTTCAAGCTCACTGCCACCTGTCATATGTATCTGTTTCACATTTTGGAAATCCAGCTGAGGACGTGATTGGGGCACTTTATTTCTATAAGAAATGGGGAGTTGATACCATGGCCTGTGTAAACTGCAGTATTAGAATCAGCTTGGAAACACATTATATCGCTGGACTCTACACATGCAGGATAACGCCGAAGCAACCCACTCGCATTATAGCTAACTTGCTACATTATTTTTGGGTACTGGGTGAAAGACAGAGCTTTAACATCACATCTTCACTTTTCCTGTTCTCTCCAATTCTCTTCAGCTGGCCCCATGATTACCCGTAAGCTTTCATTTACTCCTCTCACGATATCCCCCATGTCATCCCCACACCCACGCCTAATTCGTCATTCCCCACCGGCTTCCACTCGATGACCTCCGCGCGATGTCATTCGACGGTCTCCTCAGTGTTTGTCCGATCCATCTCCATTTTCTTCGATAATATTTGTTGAGTAATAGCTTCTTGATTCATTCGTTCCCGGAATTTCTTGTCACTTTTTCGTTCTGACCGGCCATCTGACCTTGATTACGGTGCCAGCGAAGGCAGCTGTTGATAAAAGTTTGAATCCTGCCAGAAATGATTTTGGTGACGCATTGGTCAACTTTCTGACCCGTATAGAAGGAGTGACTGAGTTAACATTGGTGCTGAGTTTTGTGGTTTATGTAGAGTGGACCCGATTTCCTGACTGATTTCGGAGTGATAAAGGTCTGTCTAGCCTTTCCGATTCTGGTTTCGACATTCACAGGCGTCTCGACTGCCCGTATTTGGTGAAACAATGCTTCCTAGATAAGTGGAGGTAGTGACCCCTCCCTGTCGGTCTTCAAGTCTGCATCATGTTATGCATAAGTCACATGTGGAACCCAAATCTACCGAAGTCTTTCAGGCGGTCCGATGTATTCCTGTGTTTGACTGGATACTATTTAGTAACTAGTACAATACGTATGATCCTTCGCTTGGTGCAGACTGAATGCTGCTAGTCAAGCTTGCGATGTTGCCATCACACTAGCCGAGTTGGCATCGCCGTACACTCGAAACTCTTGTCATTATATGGTTTGAGGCAATCGGTGGAAAGCTTCGGACCTATGTTTCGTGCTTTTTGGCACTCACCAGTCAGAAGGGTGTATCTGCAATCCTGAGGGAACTCATTTGTCCCTTGTGTTTTCTTTCGGTGACTTCTGTTGTTAGAGACGTAAACACTGAGCTTTCAGGCTGGAGATCAACGTTCTGCAGGACTTTATCGGTTTAAACAGTATCTAGTAACTATTGTCACCCCACTGTCCTCTACCTCCCCGGATTCTTACACCTAATCCAGCTCACCATAACCAGAAATATCATCAGTGGTAGTAGGGGGAAATATTTCGCCCCTGTCTTCACTTCGAACGCCTCTGTGGATTTTTCACTGTGAATCGATCGACATGCGGCATCGTCAAATAGCTGTTTAGTGAAGTTGATGAAGGCTTGTGACAATCATAAGAGTTGAACCGAGTCTTAACTACTGCAAGGATTACCTTATTGAAGGCTCTCCCACATCTGGTGAAGTTGAAGTGGGGGTTTGACTGCAATTTTATGCTCTGCTCGGCAATGATGCCTGGAGTTGCAATTAGACCCACATATTATTTGCTTTTCCTGAATCCAAGCTGTTCCTTTCTGAGTTCTGTGTCCAGTGCATCTTTTAGGCCTTCTAGAATAACGCTAGTTGGTATTTGGATTGGTGTTGACGACTGCGTTATCGCACACCAGTGCTTGAGGTGACCAAAGTCCGCTTTCTTTGATAGCTTGTTTAGGTTACCTTTATTCCAATCAAAAGGCACCCTTCTTTCCTTCCAAACTCTATGCAATATTAGCAAAAGCACATGCTCTGCAATCTCTGAATCCGTTTTCAGGTCTTCTGGGTAATTTCGTCCATTTCTGGCCGTACGCAGCATGATTGATTTCAAGACTTTTGCCTTCGTTTGACGATTAATATCAACTGGCAGTTTCGCGTCTGCTGTAGATTGTATTTCTGGATGAGTTGCGGAAAATGGTTGATTCAAGAGTCCGTTGAAGTTATCAGCCCACAGTTATATTTGTCTTTCCCCTTCGATAACTAGGTTAACTTGGTCGACTTTTATTGGCTTCATGTGTGTTGATGTCTCCCTGGATATTGACACGGTTTTGAAGTGTCTTTGCTTTGTTCTCCTTCGCCTGGTAGTGTGTTACATGATTGTCTTCCTCTGCACTGTTCAACAATTAGTTACTCAGGGAAACGTACAAATTGCGATTAACCTCTCCTTTCTTTGCCCATGTTTGCACTGAGTCATCTTCTGTTTCACCGCTTATGTCTCATCTACTAATCTCCAGATGTCCATAGAGAGCCACTCCCACTCTTCTTTCTTCCCAAAAAAGTTATACTTTTTCCCCGAACACCCCTTTCAGAGAGTCCCAGCGTCCATCCTCACAGGTTTTCCCAGTGGTTCCCCCCACTTTGCTTTGACAGACGTATTGAAGCTGTGCTTTTGTTTCAATGTTTCAGTGCCTGAGCTTCGAACTTGACTTCTGGTCTATCCCCGGCTGCCTTGAATGGCTTCGACCTGACCTTCAGCAGAATAATGGTCCCAGCCCACATTTGCTTCCCTTCTCGACTTTTTGTTCAGCCGAATGCATGTCCATTTTCCTGAGACGTAGATGAAGTCTATCTGGTTTTTAGTTTGTTAGTCATGTGGAAACCATGTTGCCTTGAGTACATCTTTTTACCTGAACTCACAACCTCCAATCACCAAATCAGTGAAAGCAAAGAAATCTGCGAATCATTCATTTCCCCGACAGCCCTCGAGAAATAATGAATTCTTTTCCCGTATTATCTGCTCCAAGTTTTGAACTAATAGAGCCGATAATGATTTTGATGTCACCATTTGTGATGTCGTCCTTTACTACTTGTAGCTGTCTATAGAAATCTTCCTTCTTCTCTTGTTCTGTTTTTTATCAGTTGTACAGCATCGGATGGTTAAAACCTTGTTTTGAGTTGAATCTTGCTGTCATTATCCTGGGGTAGGTCAGTTCCCAGTGCATTAGAACTTTCATTGTTGTTGGAGACTGGATTAGATTATTAACTCTCCAGTTGAAAGTTTGGATAGTCACAGATTCCTAGCACTTATGCGCTATATGTGTAACAACAGAAGACAAGGGCCAGGCAACAGATCGTTTATTAAGGAAATCAACACGTATTTATGTATTTTATTGTACATTATTATAGATTATTTAAGCAAACAAACAGTCTTCCGATTAGTTGTTTCTCACAGAAAGTTAACCTTGCATCTCTTGTGGCTGTCCCTTGAATGTGAGATCATCTATATGTTAACTGCATCCGCCTACCCAAAGACTTTCTTCTCATTTTTCTCTCGACCAATATTAGGGACATCAACACTGACGTAAATTACTGTCCAATAATGTTATATAACCTAACAAGACAGGCAGCGCGCGGAAACAGCATTAGTTTAAAACAGCTAATGTTTTTATACCTCCTATTTTCGGCGGCCACGTCTTATTGACACAACGAATATCGCGCAGTACACATGTTTTCTGACTTAGAGTCAGATACCTAATAGGTGCCAACAGGACCCAAGTTCGAAAATGCCAGAAGAACCCTTCGTATCTGTGAGAAGTTCCGTCAGCGATCAACCTGGTAAGGCTGAGGTAATTTCCCGAATCAGTAAAATGGCCAACAAGCCCAACCACTCTAATCAGTATCCTTAAATAAATAATGCCGTCAGTCTCGTAGCACCAAAAACAAGGATAAACCGTACTTAAAAATTATAAGAATCGCAGTTGGCTGATTATATATATATATATATATATATATATATATATAGAACTTACAAAGATTTGATCTGGCTTGAAGTCATTCTATTTCTTCATCAATGCAATTGTTGGAGTAACTTTCAATCTCCCACTGTATATGCATACAGACAGATTCGTGTTCACTTCACAAGTAATTGGAACATTTGTTCTCAAAACTTTTCAGAGAAGTAAATCATTTTTTATCAGCATTCTATCAAGTGCATACACATAATTACGGGCTGATTAAAATGCATAATTAGCAGGCTCAAAAACGGATTATTGAGATTTTTGACATGGCAAAAGTGAATGAAACATAAAGGATTCCGTTATTCCTATGATTTCCTTCAATGATTGTTGAAATGCCGAATTCCTTATTTTAGCTGACCTTTTCCAATCATTTCTCCTTGAGAAATAGATTTTCACACCCTCGGTATCTGTTAACTAAGCTCACAAGTACATTTTATTATCCACACAAATTGTGCTATGAAGATCACCTGCGTATTTTCCCCACTAGTTCTAGTTCGATTGATTATTTTTCCATGAAAAGTCTGTGAACAGTGGAACAGATCAAATTAATTATAATTACATTTCTATAGTTTATAGACGAAGATGAGCTTATTTTGGCACTTAAAAAACAGTTTCATCATTTGGTGTGATCAGATAGTAATTTTGCTCAAAATATTGCCAAAATAAAAAAACATCATTACATGTTAGCAGATCGCAGATATAAAATTAAGGCATATCTCATCGAAATCGTTAACCAAGCACTACAGTCTAAAGTATGTGCCATAGATGAAACTAGTTTCATTCATATGAGCGATCAACTGCATTTTCAAATTTCCGTTTTATTCAGTCAAAAACCATACCTTTGTGGTTACGAAGGGAATAGTAAGAAAGGAATCCGTAGAAAATCTCTATATATTACTGCTAAGCAGGGATAAAGAAGAAGCCCTGGATTAAACCTAACAAAAACTGAACGCTTCTGTTGTACTGAACTGACTTAAAGAGTGCAGAGACGGAACAGTTTGAATGCTACCTTCCATTTGTTTTCTTTCTCCAACTCTTTGTGTATGCATCTCCCCAATTATCATCAACACTATTCATATCAGATGCTGCATAAAAACACAGAATACGAAAATTCACTTGTTAATACGTCTTTTTAAAAAGATACGTTGATACATTTTTGGTGTGGTTTATACAGAAGAAAGTACACATAAGGCAAGAAATTAAGTAGATAGTAATCAAATTAGTACACGGTAAATAACTGATTTAATCGATACTAAAAGTAAATAAGTGCATACCATGATAGAAGTTATTAAATAATATTCATATCATTGTAGCTAAGTAAGACAGAAATACACAAATAATCATATGAAAAAACAAACAAACAAAAAAGGTGGTTGAAGCATAGAAATTAACCAAAAAAAGTTAAGGGTAGGTAGGACACACTTCACAAAAGATAGTTTGCATAAAACATGATCCCTGAGAACCAAAATTAGTATTGGGCTGGCACAGTTTTCATTGCTTCAAATGAGGTATGCTGTAGTTTGACAAGCTAAAAAAACGCAAAGGTAATTAAAGGAAGTTAGGAGAAACACCATAAACGTAATAACTGAACTAATTTTAATTCACAAACAAGGTTGATGATGAAGTTCATGAAGTTGTGCTTATAACACACGACACCCCAATCCAAGCGGCTTGTGACTGTCCATTCTCGTTGAGATTCAAAGCTGGATAACTGTTGAAATCGTTGAGTGGCATATCCCAGTGGATTTGCAGTCACAATTATATGTTATATATTTTTTATCTCAGTGATAAAACTACTTATTTAGTCGCTTTATGTTTTCTTCTGTTATCTTAGGACTTTTTGCACTTTTTTTACATAACTACACACAATTTGTCATCCTTCCCTACTGTCAACTTCAGGACCAATGTGGTAACCAATTGTGTTAGACATAATGTCTAATTGCCTAAAACATAGTGGTTGAGATTCAACTACCAATACCTTCTCAACCAATTATATTATTACACTTATTCGTATGTTGTACTTGGCTGCCCAGTTTCATTTATTTTCAAACGATTGTTGTCACTATGTACAATAAGGATGAATGCTTTTTAAGCAAAGGATGTCATAAACAAACATTTAAATTCGAAATCACGATTCACAGATATTACTAAGCTTTGTACAACGTGGTATTATTACGATCATCATGTAATATATGATGAAACTGTATCTGATCATTAGAAGTGTTATCTTTCATATTCTTGGGGTGAAAAGTAGATTTATCATCTAGTCCATCTATTATCTGTGTATGATCTTATATACACTAAGTGAATAGAGTAACAGTTTGTTACTGTAAATAACACATGCATATACAAGAAGAACAGTGTACACATATTTTCTGAATTGGATTCAGATTCGCATTTTACTTTGATAGTCGAGGAAAATCAAAAAAGCGGACAAATATGACTTATTGCTATGAAAAAAAGCTGCAATCGAATGTATCTACAAAAACACAAACAATAATTAAACTGATTTAAAAAACTGCAAGTTGAAAGCATACAACAAGACAAACAAACCTGTGGATTTTCTCTGTGTGTTTCCACTGCAGGTACATTGAGTTCCACTCGTTCAACTATACAACGATATGCTGTTGGTGTTAGCTTGAAAACTGTATGCAAAGGTACACGAATGTATGGTAGTTCATCTGTTTGAAGAAAGAAAATATAACACTGAAAAACAAAATGGTAGAATAAGGACAATCGAAGATGGTGAGTTGAATCTTGCCGGTAATCTTCAGACAAATGACGACTGTTGGACGATTAAAATAATAAGAATGAACAATAAATTTCTACGACCAGTAACTTCTGATTCTCTTGGAATTTAATATGACCTCAAATAATACAGTTTTTTATTATCAAAGGTGGATCCATATGCATAACACGTCTCAAGAATCCAATAATATCATGATTTACGACAGACTCCTTTGTGAAACAATCAGTTCAACTGATGGATATTGACAAAACAACGAGAAATTCTGAACTGTACAGTGTATTGTAAAACGTATTTCAAACAATCTCATCACAAAAGTAATTGTTAAATGAACTTCAAAATTAAGAGTAATAGTAGACAAATGGGTGAGATATTGAGAAAACGCCACATGAGAAGAATGAACTGAAAGTTTGAATGACATTAAGGTTAAAATGCAAAACAATGAAATCACCACCCTGCTTTAGAAGCTGAATTCAACAAGAAAACTTTAAACTATTGGTAAGCTGTCTCATAACAAATTGAAGTTGAAGAAAAATAAATGTAACGACAAGAAAACTCGTGGTTAACTACCACTGGTAAACTAACTGAGCTGAAATTCATCAGTAACTGCCTCGTAATTTTTGTCCTCACATCAAAAGTACAATGTGTGATATACACGAATGTCCCGAAATAATCACAAAACAACTGTTCAGCTTAATTTCATCTCTAAGTTCAGATTGGTCTAATCCGGAGAAAACGCAGATGATAGTGATAAGCTGACTGTCTATCTTGCCTAGCCAATCAACTTGAATATTTCTGGTTATCTGACAAAAGTTTACCGATAGCTTCAACCTATATAAAGGATGAGGGTAATTTGCAACAGGAATTCGAGTAATAACTAACACTATACTCTATATAACCTACTCACCTTTGTCCTTATCTTCAAAATACGCCAAAAGACAACGTGCTACAGCCTGATGACAGATGACTAGTACTGACGTTTGCCGTTCTAGCTCCATAATTACGGGTTCTAAACGCGTGACCAAATCATGATATGACTAAATGATTGGAATATTAAGAAAAGAAACAAGCATTAATATGAGCATGACCATAAATTTTTCCACACATACTTGTGAAAATTGAGCAGTTCATTAAAAGCTACAATCTACTGGACACCTTCAAACACCCAGTTGTCCTGATTAGCCTGAGCTCTGCTAGAACGTAGAACATCTGTAGGAGAAGAAAAAAAGCTAATTCGATGTCACAGCCTTCCTGCAGCTGTTAAGAGTCTAAAAATCACCTTTTAACTGAAACACACATATATAAATACATAACACAATTAAAAACTATTTCAACCAGTAGGACAGTTGATAATCCTCAAGTACACCAATGAGTGAGGAGATAGAGGAATACAAAACAGCCAACATTGAAATAACTAAACAATCAGATGTTATTTATACATAATATGATAGAAAATTCCAAGACTACGAGAAGAACGCAGGTTAAAAAAATTATGACCAATGAGTATGGTTAGTAAAAGCATATTATTACACGGACAGACAAACAAATAAATTAGTAGGCTTAAAAAATAAGTTCACTTCAATTATTTGAAATCAGATAAAGATTTTGATGCAAAAATAGCAGATTCAGTTAACAGGAGACTATGGTGCCAACCACACTATATAAATTTCAATAGACGCACAAATACAGTTCTTATATAGTTTCGTTCTACAAGCTAGTAAGTATGAATTAATTAATTTGACATAGTAGCACAAGTGAAATGAATAAACTTTTCCAAAATGACATGATGATTTACAAGTATGATGATAGATGAATGCTGATGGCAAACAGCATTGAAACTAAAACTATACAAGCTCAGAAATAGAGTTGACTAGCATTAATCGAACAATTTTAAGAAAACAGGTATGGTCAAGATAGGCAAAGAAACGAAACTAAATAACATTTTATAAGTGACGATGAGAAAAGAAACAGAAGAGATGACTATACATCTATTGAAGATTTAATTAGTGAAAACATATCTATGACAACATTTTGGTATCTTTCGAGTATTCCGATGAGTATTTTTTATGAATGTAACAACAGAAGGCGAGACACGAAAGCTAAAGTATATTTCCCATTGATCAAACCGCTGTTTATATATATATATATATATATATATATATATATATATATATATATATATATATATATATATATTGGCCAAAGTGGACGTCCCCTTCGTTTTCGTATCCATTGAGTATAAGCTAGCCGTCAAAAGACATTACATCCACTCCCTCATATCACTACATACAGACAACCACGGACATCAATTCGACTGGGAAGAAGAATTACAAAGGACACCAGAAATCTGGTATTTAAGTGAATCAGCAATTAATAGGCGCATTGACAAAGATAAATTTTGCCAAACCATAAGACGAAAGTCTCGTGCACAAAAAGTGAAACTTCAGGTCAAGGAAAATAATCAATGATACAAGTACATTAGAGGGTGTAGAAAAGACAAGACATCATGGCTCTTTGCCAAATCGGACAACAGGCATCATTAGTCAACAACTCTGGCATCTCCAGACATAGATGTATGTTGTGTTTCCAAGACACACATACAAGACCCGAGTGTGCTCTTTCACTTACCCTCACATAGCCAACAAAGTGAATTTCTAAAATTCACCTTAATGGTGTCAGGAGTCTCCTCACTTATTTCGCGAGGACTTGGAGGTGTAAGAATAGCAATAAGTGTTGCAGCAGAAAACCCACTTCTTTACTGGATCCCCGTAGATAATCGGACACATGCCGTCGGTTAGAAGTCGTCCCATCAAAGAAAGAATGGCCTTACCCGTCGATGAATTTTCATAGTCTCCACTCACGCCCAAACAGACTGCAGTTCAGATGAACTAGAAGGACAATTTCTACCAGAAACTGTCTCGTTTGCCTCAAAGGGCAAAACGCTCTGGTATAGTTGCTCCAGCATGGACTTCAATGTCCAACCAGGGAAGTCCTGCCGGGCTGAGAGATATATAGGTGGTACCAATGGAGTTCCCTCCTGCAGAACAAAATATGGATCAACTTTCACAGTTCAGGCAATCATCTCTTCCTAGTCACCACCAACAACAACAGGCACAAGGAGAAATATCCACTAACCTCGCGACCTCCATCACCAAAATCAACGTCGGACTCAAATACACCACATAGTGATAGACTGTCGTTGGCAAGGGTCAGTAGAAGACTGACGCTCATTCTAGAATACGTGCGTAGACTCTGATCATTGCCTGGTTCGCCCATATTCACGCTTACGATTGAATGGACATAAGAAAATTTTGATAGCGAAGCAGCCACACCCTCAACTAGATCAAAACACTGAGTCCCTATTTGACGAAGAAATAGCGAAACGAGAATCTGAGGTCGACAGCAGTTCTCCTCCTGAGGAAGCCCGGCACAATATACAGTCAGCTGTAGACACAGTTGTAAAGGCTGTTAATAAGCTAAAACCGAAAGTTAGTAAGGACCACTAGATTTCTACCACGCCATCCGAAATGATTGGCCTAAGAGGGATGATTCCGGTGAGCTCCGAGTATGATGAAGGGCGTAAGCTGCTCGAACGCAAACTGACTTCACTGTTCACAATGACTGGGAACAGTGGTGGACAACAAAAGCGAGAGAGATGGAAAAGTCATCGGCAATAGGTAGCACAAGACAACTGCTTAGACTTATCAGGGAAACAGGGGACAAAAGACAAATGGTAAGTGAGACAATTTGGATAAGAGGCACCATAATTAGAACGCAGGGTATACGACTGGGAAGTTGGAAAGGACACTCTGAGCAGCAATTTAATTGACTTACAGCCACACTCAACTTTCCAGCACCCATCGCCTCCCTGAATTGAACATACACACAAGTCCTCCGTTCCTAACTGAGGTTACTAAGGCTGTCACTAGTCTGAAACGAGGTGAAGCAGCGGGACGTGGTGAAATAACGCCAGAGGTGTTCAACGATGGTGGAGACAGTTTACTGTCTGCGCCAACCAAGATACTAGGCAGCGTCTGGAAATCAGAGGAAGTCCCGTCGGGTTGGTGTGAGCCATTGGTTATCCCGATACACAAGAAGGGAGACAAGCCTTCCTGTGATAATCACAGGGGAATTAGCTCGACTAATGTGGTATCTAAAGTTCTAGACTCAATAATAATGCCTAGACTAAACGGTGCTCGGGAGGAACAAACACGAGAGGACCATGCAGGCATCAGACCAGGAAGACGATGTATCCATCATACCTTCAGCTTTCTACAGATTCTGGAACGAAGACATACACTCATCGGAGTCCAACAATCGTCTTATTTCTCGACGTGAAAGTGGCATTTGATTCCGTCGACCGAGAGGTACTATAGTGATGTCTATTTGTGAAGGGAATGATGAAGAAATACATCGCACTGATGGAGGCACTCTACTCGAACTGATGCAGTCACCTAAGTCAGATACTACGGAGGGCTGTCATCTGAAGTGGTGACAAGCAGTGGTGTGATAAGCATAGGTTAGAAACATTTGTTATAATCTATCTCGAAATTTATATATTGAAAACGTGTTGTGCACAGAACGCATTAAAGATGAATACCAAGTCACCGTTACATTTAACTCTTGTATGTTCAGTAGCGACATTTACTAACAGAAAAATTATATTGTTAGTATTAAGCTCAATTTTCATAGCTGCGTGGTGTTTCTTCAAGAAGATTTGGATGGTTACAAACATATATCTGGAAATTTTTATTCACCCAATTCCAACACGTACTAGCAACGGGAACGAATTCATAAGGTTGGTTGGATTACACAATAATGACACTAAACCACATGGATGGATTACAATACTGAATAATATATTATCCATTTTATTTACCAATGTCCACTTTTTCACTTCAAAATTTTTGGAATGAGTAGGTGGTTTTCTGAAGAATAGTCTCTATTGAAACTCTACATAGCGAAAGAAAGTAGGACGATTGAGTTTATCTCGGAAATTTAAGCTAACTGTGATAAATCAGTGATTGATAAAATCTGAATGAGAATAGAGAGAGCTCGGCTAGTTTTCTTCATTGGTATCAGTTACAGGGAACTAAAAAGATACTGAGTGAAATATCAACGGTCGGGAGTATTGCGTAACACTACGCTTTGTGTTACCATGCACATGTGAGACATAGGCGTTGAAAGTAGTTATGAAACGACTACAATTCTTCAATCATAGCTGATTTCAACCGACCGCGTATGTATAGCAACATGGTAAATAATACAGAGGTTAGACGAAGGTATCAGGGAAGCTGATGAAATTGTTGGATTCGATCGACTGAGGTAGCTAGGACACATATTATGCATGCGGCGCTACCACCTTGGACAAATAGTAATGTGATTAAAAGTCATCAAATCAAAACATCAATTCATGAAGCCTTTAACTATTCATTTGGTAAAGGCATGGTGTAATTTGTTAGATTGGGGTACTCTAGAGTCTATGAAGCAATAATTGAGAACTACTGCTGGTATGCCTTAAAGTCATAATAGCGGCACACATGCTTTCACTAATTACCTGCCATCTTCTAGATTCTGAACATTTTATTGGATTAAATAAAGATCAGTGTTTCAGTGAGTCACTAATCTTTGATTATTTTCATCGTTACACCTATTTGTAGTACACCCGCATCTCTGTTTCCTTACGCTGCGTATCATTCCGAAGAGCAGTAGTTGGAACTGGGAAACTTTCATAAAAATTTTACACTATTTCATTTATCAGACGTCCTACGGACATTTAAATTCCAATTCTTACACTCCTCCCATTATATGCTAAAACCAGTTGAACCAACTAGAAGCATTACACAATAATATCAATTTGTGTGTTGATAGCGTTGACTCGTTTACCTTTGTGGTTGGAACAGTTCATTTACGCCTTTCACAAACAGTTAAAAATAAAAAAAAGCACCGTGAATACGCGATAACTGCAAAACATAGGCTAGGTAAAATTAGGGGTATATAAAACGACTGAGTCACACGATTCACTAAATGGGCATGAGGTTGATAATTTATAATACATCTGTTAGTAGCGATTGATTAATGCAAGTAAAAATGAAAATATGGGATGCGTGCTTGTACACGTTAATACGCGGCAATTCGCTGAAATCTCCAGGAGAGAAAGTAGTAGAGCAGAGATGATCAAAATACTTTTAAAAAGCTTACTACCTAAAATGACAACTATGTACACGAAAAAATATCTTATTCTCTACTACAAACAATCGAAATCTATCAACTAAGATTCAGAAAATATTGTTTTTTCGAATTTATTCGGACAACTATTTTATACGAGTTGACAAGAATGGGTGATAATCTGTCACTGCATTACTGATATAAGAAATACTCAGGTTGAAGGTAGTGTTAACTTTTAAAAGTCGGCAGATGAAGTTATAAAGCTGTATCAATCAACATGAATAGGAATTACTACGCACGCCAAGCCATCGCCTTCCTTGACAAACAAAGTTCGTTGATATGGGGTTGGTTTGGAAAGGAGTTTTGGGTGGCGAAACCGAAACATGATATCAGCTAATGAGTTCTTTGACTGTTGGGTTTAGTCAAAAAACATAGGATGGTGAAGATTGTCTGACTGGGGTCCTCCAGGAGCTAAAAACTAACGACCCGAGAATGTTGGCGATGTGACTCAAAATCAATCGCAGCGGTGCATATGCATACACTCTTAGAAATCTCCCAGACACATCAAGTTTTCATGGTTTTTCACCTTACTATTCGTTCACCCATCCATTTCTTCTCATTATAGTTATCTTTTGGATTTCGATTTCCTTTTCCCTACCTTTATTTGTCACATGAAGTGTGGCAACCTGGACGTTTGCAATTCTGTGTGAAGTTCTACGTTGAAACTCAGTCAGTCAGTTAATCAGCATCTCCGATGAACACAGTTTTGAATTTCAGTCTGATTTGTACACTAATTAAGTAATTACAAGAATCATTCATAGGAACATCTAAATGTCAATAATACAATACACTGAGGTGGATGATTTGCATTCATCACAAAATCTAATAATTACAGTATGAGACTCATAAACTAGTAAGGAAAACAAATGCAGTCACTGTATGTAATACCTATTACTGAAAAAAAAACCACTAAAAACCACCGGATAAGTATATTATATAATAATAGTGTAATAAAGGAGGAAAATTATTTCACTTATAATTGAAACCTACCTCTCCCATAGGATAACGATAATGATATTTGTTAGCATCACGTCGGGCAAAGTCATCAGGATATTTTTCTTGGATTTCATCATACGTCATTCCGTCACAAACTCCCTAAAAATACTTTATATGTACTGTTAACGAAAACTCATGGTAACTTTACAAAAAGTTGATAAAAAATTGTTACTACACTTAAATCGCAGAGCTAGTAATACAAACCCAGAAATTCAGTTTCCTACTGACTGAGTGATTATTTGGACAACCTAGAGATGAACCTTTCGGCTTTAGGTGACATGTCTACACCTTTGGAAGAACTAAGATTTTCTCACAATTGTAGATATGAAAGGTTGAGGGCTATAGACAAGACCTCAATAAATCCAGGTAGCAGAATGCTGACCTTGTCTATTGAGAAACACGTTTGGCATGATTCGTAAAACAAATGTCAAAACAGCTAGATACGTAGACTCTTATTGACCGGCTACAAATAATCTAAGGGATATGCCACACACATGGTAATTCCACAATATGTGAACAGTGTCTCAAAAATGATATAGTTTGGAGACTTAAATTGATTCCCAAATCTGGTACCTGTAACGGTCAACTTTCACAGCAACAGGAAAACACAGTACTCTGAAGGGCAGAATATTTATTATTACGAGGAAATCTGATACAAGCCCAAAAAGTCTAATTAAATTTTCCGTATATAAACTACAACTTTACTGACAACTAGACTATTAGGGCGGGCGCCACTTACCAGATAAGCAAAATAATTTACATAGTCAATCAGTCAGATGGCGATTGTACAGATGATAATGTGATGTATCTGTCAGCTATTTCTTGGATGACAATGTCCGAAAACTTTTGGTGGACTGAGTCAAATGCCACGCCAGATTAGAAAATACGAATATTGTCTATACACGGACAGGACCTAATCCACCTGCTCAAACTTCTGTCTAGAATCCACCTGAATTTACTGAACTTATTGTTGTACAGTTGCAATTCTGAATGCAATGACTACAGGATCTAGAATCTAAGTAAATCTGTCGATCTAACTTATTTCTAGGATGATGTCACAAGAAACAGCTACTATATTCCAGTGGCATACCTTTTCTGTATATGGTAGACACCGTTTACTTGTTTAACTAAAAGCAAACTCAGTACAGAGCAGGAAAATAAATATGTGGTGTTATAAAGCCCATTCATTGGAGTGTTCATCGCTTTAGACTTCTTTCGAAAAAAGAACTAGTAAAACAGCACATCAGATAACGTCTGGAGATGCATGATCCCTTGAAGAATCGTAATGAAACAACAAATATTAGCTAAGTTAAATTGGATCTCAAGTCGGCCAAACTATTCGATAAAAAAATAACGATGAACAGCCCATAGTAGCATTATAATTAATCATTGTAACTGCAAAATTAATTTGAACACAGACGTCCTCCTATGTACCGGTAAAACTCCATAGCTTCTCGAGAAAAATATTCCATTTGGAACAATATCACAGTAGTTAGACTTACTGCATCTAACTCATCTAAGGCTTTCCAGTAACGTATTTGAGAACATTTAATCTTATCAGCTGTCTGAATGGTACGCTTGAAATAACTTGTCCACACTTTAAGATTTTGTAATTTTTCTTGTTCCATAAAAACTGCAAGTTTTTGCCCATACTGAAACAGAAATTTTAGGAAAGACAATGATTAACCCTGATATAGTCATCCATTAAAGATAGCATGGATAGGAAGGATTCTGCCTCCCCCAAAACAGGATGTATGGAGAAACATAAAACCTTTACCAAAAAAAAACCTTATCATCATTCATCGCAACAGCATGTACAAATTTAGCAGAAACGGAAAGGCAATAGGATAATCGAAAAGATTATAAGGGAAAAAGAACAGACAAGTGAAATGAGTAGAATAAAGCCTTAATTCTTCAGAAAACTACGAGAGTTTCATTCAAGTGTGTTGCTATCAAAAATTGTTGTTCCAATTTAATACGATGAATTTTAGTTTTCCTCCGACTTGCTTCGAAAGACGTTGTTCTTGATATAAGACGACATAATGGATAAAAAACACCTAATCGTCTAGATCGTTGATGTTGCACAATCATGTGTACCTCGGCTAGAACTCGAATCCTAATACAAAAACACTTTATTATGTTTTGTTTTGCCAATTTGCTTGTATTAAAGCAAAAACAATCGCGCATAGCGATATGTCGCAATTAAATGACATTACTCAAATATCCGTTAGATTTTATCTTCAAAAATATCTTTACACGAAATGACTTTGATTAGTTTTTATTTCACATTTTTTGTGGAGTACAGTGACTTGGATAGACAAAATTTTGTTCTAAGACTGATACCTTTCAGATAGTGTTAAAATATTTCACATTTACGATGAAATATGAAGGAATATACTAAAAACAGCTTCAAATATTAGTCAAGATCAAACAACGTTGCAAAGAAAAACAAGAAGCATTTAGTCAATATTGCACAAAACACTGGAAATGAAGCTGCTCTACTAAATTTACCTGTCGACATCGCCTAAATAATGTTTCATTCAACCAGATAAAATCTGGTTAATTTCCAGTAACGCTGACTGTAAAATTCTAAAATGCAGTCGGTTGATTTTGTTCCGTTGCTTAATCAGTTAATCTAACACTATCAGTACAACCTGAAATATTTAGAGCAAGTGAAGTTCTTTTCGAGTAGCCTCGACTGCTTCCCCGAGACAATAGCAACTGGTAGAAATAACAATATATCAATAATTCTGTTGACTGGCTTCAATGTAGAACTTTGCATAGATGTTCAGCGGTTTTAGATGCCATACTTAGTGTATCACACAGAGCAAGAGAAGAGAGACTCAAAAGAGAGATAACACATGAATATGAGGCCAAAAGAATAGTAATATGAAAGAACAATAGAATTTTATTGAATACGAGAAATCACAATGAGTAAATGCATCTGCACCAGCCATTGAGAACGACTTTGAGCCATATCACCAATTGTCTCCAGCCATTGGTTGTTGCCATCCCGAATGCCCTAACTAGACAGTCTAAACCTCCACTCGTGATTTAAACTAACTGTTATAGATTTCACTGGCTGACGCAATATTTTGGTTTCAATGTCAATAGTTCAGCACAAAAAGCTGGTAAAATTGTGGTAGTTCTCAAAAGTATTTTTCTGACAAAAAGTTTTACATACTGTTACATAGTTAAAATCGAACGTACTAGTTTCCCCCTTTCAGAAAGCGATCCATCTCCACCAATACGTCCTTGAAGGTTGAGATCTGTTTCACCATGCTAAAATTATTAAAAGAAAAACTGAAGATAGAAGCAGTGGATTTCGTCTAAAAACAATAATAATCACAATAATAAACCTTTGAGGACTGTGGAGTCAAGTCTTGCTTTTCGGTTTACTTCAAAAGTACTGCTCCTGAATGTCTTACAATGCTTCACTAGGATTCAGTTTTTTAAAATATTTTTAATAATCATTCTATCATGACATCACTTATGGATCTATTCGAGGTAATGAGTTCGCACTGTCAAGAAATACAGCAAATAAATTGATTGAGTTCTCTGAAATATTTTTATGCAGTTCCGATTAGGCCATATAAATCCACTTTTACTTTCAATAATTGCGTACACTGCACCATCTGCAGAACAGATTGCATATAGATGTCTGTATAAATATATATTTTAATAAAACAATTGAACACGTTGGAGCTTTGTAGCTATTTGCTTAAGTCCACTTAGCCGCAGATATACACGTGCAGACAGTAATGCACATATTGTAGAGGTAGTGGTGGTCTCCCACTAAAAACTTGCATTACTGGTTTGATATCACCAAGTGAAACAATTTCTATCTTGGGTCTTCAGCTAATGAGATAAGATAAACAGTCACTGTTGTTAGAACAATACTCCATATGAAGTATTCCCGCTACAGTTCTCTAAATGGCTTAGTTTCTCTACGTGAATACCAAAATCATTTGCTAATCTGATTAAATTTCACCACCAGAGAAAATCGTCCCACCTATTATTTTTATAGATCGGTACAATATGAAAGCATGACCATCACAGTGGAGATCACAAGAACTAATATGAAATTACTAGCGATCGAAATTATTAACACCATTGAGATTTTTTAAAACCCATTAAATTGCTTTACATGATGTTTCTTTCCAGTCACATATTTTCACTTTTCAAATTTGAAAGAGTTTTTCAGATTTTATTTTCTCCCAGAAATAATAAATATTCTGTATACAATTGGTGGATGGTGGCTAGCAGTGGAATCCAGGATGCGCATTTCGTCCTGTTTGGGACTCGTCATCTGGATGTACCTGCATTTCTCAGTGAGTGATGACGTTCCCACCGAGGCTCGAACCCAGTACCCATAGTTTCAAACGCCAAAGCGTTATCCAACCTGAGACCAAGCACTTCGGTCCAATCAATCGACGGGAAAATCAAAAATTCAATTCAATAATAAATATTCTGCTTATAATCAAAGTAATACACACCTAAACTTTCTCTATTTTCTCTAGTTTTCCTTTTCATTTCTATTAGTAGTTAGGACTTCTAAAGATTGTTGACTAGGCGTAGAGACTAACCGTGGGGGCAATAATATGATTTCCGCTCAAGCTGTGTAAGATAATTTCGGTTAGCACACTGGATCTTGAAGTTCAGTCAGTAGAATGCCGGTGTGATATTCTGAACTACTAATTCGAATTCTGTCATATATCAAGCTTCTAACCACTACTCAACTATGTAGCTAGCATCCTTATTGAAAAATACCCATTTATTCATAAGTAAAAACACAGTTTTTGTTCAGCGAAGAAATTTCTTTTCAACGACTTCATTCTCAAGCTGTACAGTCGTATTTATATCGATCCAAAAGTTTACGTTTTCTTCACTTATGCATAGCCAAAGCTTTAGCTATACATGAACAGAAACCTAAATTATGTGTTCAAAAGCGTTTTGTCAAACCCCTTTCTTTACCTTGGTCATAATAATGTTCTTTCTAGTTTTTATTTTATTTTACCACTTGAATTCTTTCCACTTCACTTCACATCTTCATTCTTATCGTAATCGTACTCCTAATTTTCAAAATTTTTAGACAACACTTGACATTTTTGTTATAGAACAATCTTTAATATTTTTGTAATTTATCCACTTCAACTCTACCCCTTATAACTTTTATCACATATATACGTACATTGACTGAGCAATTATTTAGTGCCACTTAATAACCTTTTTCTGTAATATAAATACGACTGTACAGCTGGAAAATGAAGTTGTTGAAAAGAAATTTCTTCGCTGAACAAAAACTGTGTTTATCCTTATTGAAGACAAAATATTTAATATGTAGTTAACGAACTAGGCAGTCGCCAAAGCTTACTGATTAACACGTGTTCACAAAAAGAATTGAAATCTCAAATTTAATTCACACTACACAAGCAATTAAAGTGCATAAAATTACACAAGTAACCCTAACTGGGCTACGTAAACTTCGGACTAATGGTATGTCTAGACAGAAGTTTTTCAAAAGAGTAGTAGAAGTAATAATAGAAGCTTTTTGTATTTCCCAATGAATGAAAAACAAAACGATATTGCTTTTACTGACATTTCACTAATTAATGCTAATGCTTTACCAAAGTATTATTAAACCAGAATTTCCAAAATCTCAGCAAATATATAACAACTTAATCATCGTCCCTCAACATGGGTTCATTTTCGCGTTGTCACGTTGGCCAATTGATAAAGATAACAAAATAAGGTGTAGATTGTTGGATTTGATAATTGTATAAAATTATAAAAAGCAGCGTGTGTTTATATAATGAAATTATCAAATCTAAGAATCTACACCTGGTTTTGTTGTCTTTACCAATTGGCTAACTTGACAAGGCAAAGATAAACCCATGCCGAGGAACGATGATTAAGTTTTTATATATCAGCTGAGATTTTGGATATTCTGTTTTAATAATAGTTTGATAAGGTGATTAGCTACTATGAGAAGTCGTGACTAGTGAGGTCAATTCAATCAAGTGTGAGGATGTATGTCCCACGACACTGGTTGCGGTTGCTCTAAATCACGAATTGGTAGAAGTTAGAATTCACGAGCCACTGAATCGGCTCGCAGTAACTGTATGGTATACGAGCTTGTCTTGTAACCGGAAGGTCCTGGGGGTTCACACCTTAGTGGGTGCGTACTGCCGATGATTCCCAAACTAGGATGAAACAGCTGTCCAGTACTCCTTGGTTTTCAATTGTTCTCTAACTCATATCAATCCGCGAACAAACTCGTAAAAAAATGTAATCCTTACAAACCAACTCTTAAAGTTATTAGCATTAAATACCTAAACATCAGTAAAAAACAATATCGCTGTTTTTTATTCATTTGGAAATACAAAAAACCTTTATTATAATGAATATCATATATCCAATGCCCAAATTTTTCCAAACTGTTAAGAGTGAACTTGGTTTGAACATCAATTAGTAAAGGTTATTGATGTAATTAATCAAGCAAAGCAACAACAAGTTGAGTTTAGTAAAAACATAAACTTTTCTACTTCATTTCTTCGACAGACAAACATTATATTCAATGGACGCGAGAAGCACTACATGAGAAATACAAAAAAGCGATAGACACCGCCTATCTTAAACGGATCTACACTGGTAAAACTGTCAATCAGCAACTGATATACGTGAATGATGCATTGTCTGTCGTGTTGAGTCAGTGAGGTAGTAGGCTAAAAACACGAAAACAGTTTGTTGCACATAATAAAATCCACTTTGGTGAGAAATAAAATGACCTATCGGTTTATTTTCTTCAACAAAGTAACAGTGAGATAAAAGATTTTTTAAACAGAGGGATGAAGATAAATATGATCCATTTGAGATTTTAATTCGCTTTCCAAAGAAACATAACAAAAATAAAATTATGGGGTGTGTACAGCAAACAGCGACTGGAGTGTAGATAACGGACAAACAAACTGCAGGTAAAAGCATAACGATGATAACCAAGAAAAAAACTTCAAAGTAAGTAGATGTAAAATCCTACAATTAATACCGAAGATAAGTCGAATGTATAGACAGTGGTATAAGAATAGAAACTGTGCACTGTGGTAGAGTATAATTCCATTATGGGTAAAATTTGTATTTTAATTAAGTCTCACGGTGTTATACAGTAGTGTAGTTGTATAGACAGTGGCCCTGCGGAAAGGACTTTTATTCAGGCAAAATACAATTCAGTCTCGATGGTAACGACAGAGAGCAGAAGAATGCGAATAAGAAAACAATATAAGTTAGGATACAAACGGCTCATTTGGAAATCACTAGCTAGGAGTGTTTTGGGATGTGTGACATCCATCTGACAATAATTTTCACCTTGTCAGATTCCTAGCCCTTGCTTACATCAGCTTGTTAGTCGTTATGTAATCTTATTTTTCCTATCTATAGAAATCACCTCGAGGTCAGTGTATCATAAACATCACTCGCTTATTATCCCGTAAGGCTTTTATAAATCTGAATACATATCAGTGCAGTGACTAAACTTTTCGGATGCTTTTAGTAAGTAGTAACACGACTGTACAGCTTAAGATAACTCCGTAGAAAAGATAAAATTTTGTTCGCTCCACTGCCTTTTGCTTTTTTAAATGAAATAAAGTTTAAATTTTGGCACAAGACTGGTAATGACCGCCTAAAGGCATAGGCATAATTATAATTTGTACAAGTGATCAACAACTTCAAACACTGTATAGGATTAAACAGACCAGTAAACAATGAGAAATATTCTCATTTTCGGCCAACTAAATTTCGTCATAGTAAAAAGTTGATCTAAGTCCAATTGTGTAACAGGCAGTATCAAAATGCTTCAATGTGAGTTAAATTAACTGTGATTAATTAAAAGCAAAAGACCTGGTAATGAAGTGATCCAGATAAAATAATAAAAGAATGTAGTAAACCAAAAACAACTGTCAAAATTACTTCACCTGACATGCATTTCCCTATAAAAAGTCACTGAAAGAATATACGTAAAAAAAAAACATTCACAATAAGTGGCATTGATTTCTCTGTATATATATATATATATATATATATATATATATATATACAGAGAGGGTTTGTAGACGACCGACATTATCGAGTGTGCTGTTCGTTAAAGAAAGATAGCAGAGAAAAACCTTTTGAAATTTAGTCTACATACACACATATTATAACAAAATCATTCATATTCATTTATTGAGAGCACCGTCATCTTTAACAACAAACTAAAATTGATTTGCTTGTCTCAGTTTTCCGAACTAACTACTGCCTGAATAAGTTATATAGCACAGTTGAAAACTATTCTGAAAAATATTAATGAATAGAGTGGTTTATATTTAACAGTGTGTAAGTTCATCTCTATATCATGCACACGAGTGCAAGTGTCTGACAAGAAATATTGACCAACAATGAGCACTTACAGAGAAAAGAAGTAATCAAACTATAATAATAATAATACAAGTAGTCATAACAATAATATGACAAAACATAACTAGTTGTGAACAAGATAAAGTCTAAAATACGAAAACAAACTTAGTCTGTAATGCCAAGAAAGATTCCAGTTGCTTGTACATGAATGCAACAATCTGATTACATCTACATTTGTCAGCATACTGACATCTCCAACAGAATATATAATCAGTACCACAAAATTAGAGGATAACACTATTCATGGTATGAATATCCACAGAAAGCGGAGAATAACTAGTTTTTGGAACTGGAAATAATGCTATAAATTACACTCTTACGATAGTTTAACTACACAATCTGTGTAAATAAGTTTTTGGTGAACACAAAATTAGCGAGAAATTTTCTCTCATTCACATATAATTTGCAGAGTGATTAGGCGAAATTATCCATATAGGATTTCAGGATACCGGGGAGACAACATAGAAGGTTATATATATATATATATATTGGAAGAAAATTTGGACAAAATTATAGGCAGATGAATTAATAATATAAACAAAGACAGAAATTCATGAATAAAAAATTAGAAATATTCAATGGTACATTTACAGCTAGTTACATGTGAAAACCTAGAAAATTGATCTGTAAATACATTAATATTATCAGGAAAAATGAAGTCTAAAAAGCTTCTGACGACGATTACAGGAAGAAACCTTACAATTTAGGAATGCATGAGCTGACGACTAATAGGTTCCCTGTGCCTTGATAATACACTCACCAGCTAACGTAATGCATAAACGTAGCCGGAGAAACAAATACTTTCTACGAATACACTGACAAATTTATCCCGCTTCTTGTTTACTATGACAGAATATAGGTGCCCATGAAGTGAAAAACCGAAGGGTAATTAGTTTCATGTGTCAATGGCAAAGTGTTGCAAGTGAGGTACAGAACGGTTAACCATCAACTCTGGCCTCCACTAAAATATATTTATGGATAACACTTCTCGTGAAGTTAATTAAGACAGAATAAAAAAGTATATAACTTCATTTCAAAGACAATATATTACTGATCATAATTATGAAATAAAAACTCACTCGAGTGAGGTAAATTGTGCGTTTGTTGACACGAATATTCATCAGGTAATATACAATTCGACTGTTAATATTACCTGAAAATGTACAGCACGCTTGAAAAGTAAAAATTTTTAAAACGAAGAATACAGAGGTAGGGTAAGAAACAAATTCAGCGTAGAAATATATTTTCCTTCAATTAATTCCGCACCTTAGAAGTGAAGACAAGGCTGCCTATTATCATCGATAATATTCTTAATTGTGATGGACTGGATTAGGTGAAAGACAGGGATACGTTGGACCGATAAGGAGACTCAAGTATATTTGGATTTCACGGATGATTTACGTATAGTATCACACAGACTTAAAGAATTAAAGGAGAAAACATGATAAACCAGCAGTAGGAACAGAAAAGACAGAACTTCAAGTGAACATAGAGAAGGCAGAGGTGATGTAGATAACCATCCAAGAATAGGCAGTGATCTGTATCAACGGAAGAAATTTGAGAGGAGTTACTTCCTCCACTTATCTAGGAAGCATCGTTTCACCAAATACGGGCAGTCGAGACGGCTGTGAATGTCGAAACCAGAATCGGAAAGGCTAGACAGACCTTTATCACTCCGAAATCAGTCAGGAAATCGGGTCCACTCTACATAAACCACAAAACTCAGCACCAATGTTAACTCAGTCACTCCTTCTATACGGGTCAGAAAGTTGACCAATGCGTCACCAAAATCATTTCTGGCAGGATTCAAACTTTTATCAACAGCTGCCTTCGCTGGCACCGTAATCAAGGTCAGATGGCCGGTCAGAACGAAAAAGTGACAAGAAATTCCGGGAACGAATGAATCAAGAAGCTATTACTCAACAAATATTATCGAAGAAAATGGAGATGGATCGGACAAACACTGAGGAGACCGTCGAATGACATCGCGCGGAGGTCATCGAGTGGAAGCCGGTGGGGAATGACGAATTAGGCGTGGGTGTGGGGATGACATGGGGGATATCGTGAGAGGAGTAAATGAAAGCTTACGGGTAATCATGGGGCCAGCTGAAGAGAATTGGAGAGAACAGGAGAAGTGGAGATGTGATGTTGAAGCTCTATGTTTCATTCGGAACCCAAGGGAATAATAATAATAATAATTCTACGTCAATGGCTCCAGACGGTCTTACCTTTTATCTACTATATTGACTCTAATTAATATCAATGCACCTGTACATCATAATAGATGTCTGTCAGTCTGGATTCAACATAGAACTTGGCACCGAAGTGCACCAGTTCGAGTTGCCAAGTTCCTAATAGCACACAAGGTAGATAAGAAGATGAGTGAAGAGAATCAATACAGTCTGACAAGTATAAGAGTGAAACAGAATGGGTAATGGTAGAAAAGAATATGAAAGATTACAGAGACTGAATACATCTGCGCTGGCCATTGACAACGATTTTGAGCCATGTCACCTATTGTCTCCAGCCATTGATTCCTAGAGTCCCGACAGCCCCAACCCGGAAGTCTGCATCTCCCTACCTGACTCAGTTTAACTGTCAAGGATTTCATGGATTGATGCCATGTTTTTGTTTGGCCACCACTGGCTCCTTTCCAACCTGAACCTATATCAGCTAGTAATGCCCGTCGTCGGGGAAGGCGATGGTTAGGCATGCGCAGCACGTAACCTAGCCATCTTATTCTATGTAACTCTATAGCCTCGTCGATTGATTTTCCCTCTTTACCCAACACTCTACGCCTAACGTCAGCATTACTTACCTTATTAAACCACCTAACGTGAGAAAGAGATCGTAGACATCTGTGATCAAAAACAGTCAATCTTTTCATGTCTTTAACTCGTATTGGCCATGTTTCAGAGCCATAGACAAGGACGGAGCGAACTGCTGACCGGTACACACGTCCCTTGGTGGATAGGCAGATGTCACGCCTACGCCAGAGATGGTGTAAGCTGGCGAAAGCAGCTCGAGACTTCTGGATCCGTGCTGATATTTCGTCGCCAATCAGTCCGTTGGTGCTAATACAACTTCCCAAATAGGTGAAGTGGTCAACATGTTCTATCACTTCACTCCCTATCACTAAGCTAGGAGTTGACATAGTCCAGTCCTGTAGCAGCATCTTACATTTTACAGGGGCGAATTGCATGCCAAACATACGAAGATTGCTGCGCAAGGTGTTCAGAAGACTCTGCATTTTGCCAGCATCCTCCCCTAACAGGACTATGTCATCTGCATATTCTAAGTCCATAAGACTATTCCCTGGTAACAAGTCGATTCCTAAGTCGTTAAGTTCAGTTAAGGATACTTCCATCAGCATATCTATGATGAAGTTAAACAGAAATGGGGAAACATCAAAATAGTTATTCCGCACTGAATAACATAACAACATTTGACTGGTATAATTCTAACTTATTATTTGATCATAAGTATTTGATCTAAGTCAAATTATCGTGGATCTTATTTATTTTACGTTCGTAATAAAGGAATAAACTAACCGCTAACTAATCGCATCAGATGAAAAAATGTTGATTACACAAAAGCTGTTATGCAAGACTTTTTCTTACACAGTTTCACACTGAACCGATGTTGTGTAATGTAATCCAATGAAAAAGGTGTAGCAGTTGACAAAAACAACATGTCATCATAACACGACTACCCTGCATTATCATCTGGCGGAAAGTTACCTATGCTGCTAAGCAGATACAACTGTCGCGAAGACTTAATAATAATTTATAACATTAAACGATTTAGTAAGTCCCCTTCAGTAGGAAATCACTAAAATATTAATCAACAATATCAGAGAAAGGATACAGATGGGGTTGGGGCCAAGAAAAAAGCTGCAGCAGTTCTTCCATTATGGGTATATTTTGTTTTGATAAAGTCTCACAGTGTTATACAGTAATGGACGTTTCGAACACAACTTATTGCTCATATCAAGGTAATCACACGACTCCCTAACTTCATTAATATAGTTCCATTGTTTTTCACTTGATTTGATTGGTAGTAGTATTTTCCATATTTAGGGTATGAGTAATGAATCATTCCTATTGCATGTGTTGGGTATAGACTGCAGCAGTTCTTAGTGATATAATTCAGCACAACAGCATAGAAACAAAGAGCTAGAGGAAATACACTGACATTGCAATAAAAGTCCAGACACTTCTTTGAAAAGAATAAAGACTGAACCCTCTGGAGAAAGTGTGATACAATCAAAGTAATATTACCGAAGATCATACTGATCTGAAGATCCAAACCATAACGATAACCCAGTAAAAGCAGCTTGTTTCTGAACACGGTTGATAATAAAAGAATGCTTTAAAAATACTTTCCGTATTTTTGTCAACTCCACCCAATATATATATATATATATATATATATATATAGATTACGGGATTGACCAATTTGAAAAATTTAAAAGCAAACGATATACACTTGACTAACCTTCAATACGGTTCGCTAAGTATCGTTTTCCTTGATCAAATATTTTAATATACGACCAATCTTTGTCTAAATCATCATCAATCGATTCATAACGCTTTTCGTAGTGCTCAATCCGCTTAAGAAAATCTCTTAGTGCTTCCTCTTTATCCATGCTTTCATAATCTGGGCTATTGACTTTTACTTCCTGTGAAGCACAACAAAAGTGATAAATGGAGAGCGTAAAGAAAATGAAGCAACTAAATGATAAAAACATAACCATAAGCTGGAAGGTAGGGAGCTTATGAACACACAAAGCACTTTCTATTAGTAACTTTATAAGCAACTAATAGAAAACATAAAGGATAGCATTAAAGCATTACATTCAACTTACTGAAGAACATTATTAAACTATCATTCAGAAATTCTCTATATGATGGACACGTCTAACTTTGCACAAGAGTAAATTAGTTAGTTTTTAACACTAAAAAATACACTGAAAAGAAAGATATCACAAATAGACAAAGGCAATTTTTTACTTAAAGACTGATGACAAACTGACTTCAGTTAGACAACCGTTGAAAACTGGGGAGTACTGGATGGCCGTTTCTTCCTTGCTTGGAACTCTAGCAGTATGCATCCATGACCGCGCCGGGGCTCAAACTCAGGACCTACAGTTTACAAAACGAGGTGATACACGTTGAGCCACTGGGATGGAATACAACGGTATATCGATTCGCAATCGTTAACCAATAAAACCACTTTTTCATATTTCTGACTAGTTCATAGTCGCTTTTTTGACAAGATTTAGCTCCTAAGGCCTTATCACACTAATAACGATATTATTTGCATCAAGGAAACATGGGGCATCGTAGTAAAAGACATTTAACCAATAAAATATGTCAGAAAGACTAGACTAACCTAATTTAATAATGCACCCAACCCGGAAATGATGTAAAATGACAAAAGAAATGGATGTTTGGTTAGTTAGTTAGTTAGTTAGAACTCAGTTACCTGGAGCCGATTTTCCATATGCCAGGCCATACATATTGTGTGAGGGCTGATGATACTACTTGGTTGCCCAGGCCGAAGTAGGTGCGGTAGGACTATAAACTGAGACCCATCTACTTCAAGTCGATTGCCTAAGCTAATGAATCATATCAACACTGGGACGCAGACGTTTCCGGACTACGAGTCTCAAACAGGACGCAATGCACGTCTTAACTCCAACCACTAGCTGGAAACAACATAATAAAACGACTTCTAAAAATTAGTCGATTCAATGAAACCGTTTAAATGCATTTCATACTTATAAACAAATCCCATATAAACACATTTTATTACTATTCGATAATGCAGATTACAAATAATACCGACTGTAGACACATTCCTTTACACAAATCAACAGTTTAGATGGCATTAGAGTTATATATAAAATATTTATCGATGGTTTTACCATCACTTAAATTCTAATACGAATAGAGTCAACAACACTCATATATGAAAACAAAATCTATCGCTTCATGTCTGTCAATTACGAGAATTCAAAATAGACTGATATGATAATTACAAAAATAATCCCAGCGATACCGTAATGTTGATTTCAGTCTGAACTATTACGTCAGTTGTCTTTAGTTATTAACGAAAGTATAGTGATTTGAACTGATGTATTCCTTTGAAAATTCCTACTATAATCTGTCGCAAATTTACTAACTTTATATGGGATGTCGATTTTGAAAGTAGGATCTGAAGAACTCAATAAAAAGTGAAATGAAGTGAATAAGGCACAAGTGACACATACCAAGTGATTGACTGATGTGGAGCACGACAGTATCTGAACAAACAAAACATGATAAAGAATCATAACATTCCTCTGAGCCATGTAATCATTACTAGCTCAATGGTTAGTTTAATATTCTGTTTCGGTGTTGACAATCTGTCATCAACCAGCTATAGTTCACTGTTGTTCAGCTTTAGATAGGCAGAGTGGTTACATATGTTAGGGTTTTAGAGGCTATTACTAAAGCTAATTCCTCTGTGATTGCCTCAATGCCTTGTACATTTTGCAGTGTTACGTGTTTTTACCTCGAATACACGTTTGTAAAACCTAAAAAATTTATAAACCAATGTACTAGAATGAAATGATTTATGGTTAATAACTTCTAGAATTCTTACCAAAACGTTCTCTTGAATTAGCTTTTTATCTTTACAAATTGATTCAACGAATATGACTTGAAGATTATGAGCTTTGCACCGTTCCATTATCCATAAACGACGCTGTCGTGTGGTGTTCGTTGCATCGAAAACAGCTATTTCACCGACTTCTGATGTTAGCCAAGATAACAGATCATCAAGAGCTTCTGATGCAATCTTTCTATGAAAAAAGGAAATTACAGCACAAATACCAAGATAGTAAAAATTGGATAGTGTTTGTAGGATGTGATTTCTCTATGAGACTTGTTCACCTGATATAAAAAAATAACAACAATGTTGGGTGGAAGACGGTAAACATTCAAATTACTTTCCATAATCTCACAAAGCTAACAACACAATTTTGGACACCTACTTTTTCAAGTTTGGTTACTTTTCGGCCCCTGACTGCAATAGAATTTTTCCAAGCTCAAGTTCTTGAATTATTTGTTTTATGCTCTCAGGTTTGTTTAATGAATAACGACCTACTGATTAGTATTTTTTTCACTTAAATATATTTGCTTTAGTATTATATTTTTTATCCAATCATGCAACTGGAAGTTAGTGTGCGTTCTTTCTTAAAATGTGGACAGAGGCATTTCCATACCTAGTTGTGTTTGCTTCTCAGCTGAAGTCTGAACTGCAAAAAGTGAAACTTTCTTCTGTCCTTATTATTCCATCACTCTATAGTCTGATAGGAATTTGTTGACCTTGACCGACTAATTTAATCCTTATAGGTGCTCAAACAATTCATATCATGTTACTTGAAGACCAAGCAATGGTTTTGCAATTTGATCGATGGGGAACTCCAGTTCATAAATTCTAAACAATATGGATTTCTCTCGATCGAGTCTCATTCTATCATTGGTACCATGAACTATTTCTTAGGTAAACTGCGATTAGTTTTCGGATAAATATTATTTATTTCCTTATGAAGTCAAAAATAAATTGATCGAGGTACAATAGAATTTATTACCAACAAAAAAGACTTGAAATTGGATAAACAACTGAAAACCTTCGATCGGATATACATACTGAACAGCTCACGACTCTACTCATTAGCATTACTTTATAATACTGCTTCAAGAGTATTCTTCCTTAATCCTTTATGTAATTAATCATTCTGTGATGGTTCGCTAGTCTAAATCCGTGAGCTGACGTTTAAAACTAAGGGTTCTGGTTTCCGCCTTCTTTGAAAACGTCCTCACTGACAAGCGGAGACTATTCAGTTGACAATTACAGAAAAGGAAAAGAGGTGGAGCCCGAACTTCACTGATAGCTATGTGCCTAGCTATGAAAAAAATAGACCCACGTTTACTTTTACATACTAAGATGAATAAAACACAAATAACAATTACACATCTAATACCGACAAGAATGTTACTATTCGACATAATCCAAACTTTGATCCTGTTGGTCTTCATAAGATTTTAACTAATATTTTCTTTTTTGAAGCAATTAGTGGTCGGCTATACGATTATATAAATGTAATCATATAAATGCATCCAAATACATGTTCGGCCATGTGAACACTAAGTGACTGAGATTAAATTGTATATACGAATGCTTATGACTTTATTATTTGATACCCTTATATATGTCTATATGTTAGTACGTATTCCTAACACCTAAATCCATTCGAATGCTTTTTTAAAAAGTTAAACATAATCCTCCAGTTCAATGAATACTGTTTACTCCGATTACTACTCGGCTTTTAAACATTTCATGATCAGTAAATTTAAGACTGATCTTCGGTCTCAGCTCTTCAGCTGCCACCTTGACGTGGTAGTCATATCTCAAGGACTCAGGAAGCAACACTGGCTGGAACTAATGGTATCGCTAGTACTTCCAAGCCAAGAAAGTTTGTTAGGATAGCGATTAGACTAAAAGCAGTTACAGGCATAGTGTGAGATTTGCTTTACACTACGCATTTGGTCTGTGGGCACAGTCGTACTGCTTGGGAACAGGGATGTAACAGCAGTAAGGTGTTTCCCTTTAGATGACCAGCATGCCAGTCATACTATATTTCAACTCTGGATAGAGAGAGTTCGAAAACGTCGACCGCAAAAGTTGTACTTCTCGACTTACGTTACGTCGGTCCGTAGCCGGCGTGAACTTACTGGTACGGAACCAAACCAAAAACCCAGTTTAGACAGACCCTGTGTGACCAGCTTCAATAAGTTGTACCCTGAACTCTGTGTTTACGCAACACTAACTTTTGTTCTGTTTCGGGTAACCCAAGAATCTACCAACTTCAATGGAGTGGGCAGCCGGGAATTAACAACCGCCCTCAAAGCCCTCCTGGTCATCAATCTCCTTTATCCACGTCGCTCCCATAACGTTGCTTCTCTACTAATGTCCTACTACTCTGCAAACTGGTCAGTCATCTGCATTTCACTGTGTCCATAAATAACCATGAGAACCAGAAAAACACTCAGATGACCTTCAAAAGCCACGAGAACAAAACTGAACTGCAGAAATCAACATAGAGCGACACACAGAGATAAACCTGTGGTAGATATCGAATTCCCTCCAGACCAACGAATAACAGTGATAAACTTCCACAGTTCCCTTCAGATAATCATCTATTCCTAGTCACTACCAACAACAACAGGCACAAGGAGAAATATCCACTAACCTCGCGACCTCCATCACCAAAATCAACGTCGGACTCAAATAGACCACATAGTGATAGACTGTCGTTGGTAAGGGTCAGTAGAAGACTGACGCTCATTCTAGAATACGTGCGTGGACTCTGATCACTGCCTGGTTCGCCCATATTCACGCTTACGATTGAATGGACATAAGAAAATTTTGATAGCGAAGCAGCCACACCCTCAACTAGATCAAAACACTGAGTCCCTATTTGACGAAGAAATAGCGAAACAATAATCTGAGGTCGACAGCAGTTCTTCTCCTGAGGAAGCCTGGCACAGCATACAGTTAGCTGTAGACACAGTTGTGAAGGCTTTTAATAACCTGAAACTAAGTAAAGTAGAGCACCAGGCCATTCATCACTCTCACAGAGAGAAACCACCACCACTATTTACTCTCCCTCGTCGAGAGAAAATGAAGTTACGCAATTCGCTGTCCAATGTATTCCACTGTTTTCTATCTTTCTGTATAATCGACTTTTTACTTCCTCAATGTACGCGATCTACTTTAATTAGCAAAGATAAATACTTTGTACCATATTTCACATTGCTAGAAATTTGAAATTATGCAGACATTTACACAGTGGGTACCTTATCGGTGGCGCAACAACACTGTAACTGGCAAAATATATTATTCTTAAATGAAGTCATGAAAAAGATACATAACATCCTGCACGCCTAAATTTAGACAATGGGAGTATTTGGAACCGAATGATTCGGTGTGAATAAACTAATTACGCGTCAAAATAAACATATAACATACTGTCTAACAGCAACCCCCTCATTGTTGTCGTCAGAAAAATAAGTGTGGTCATTGCAGGTTTTCATATGGCGTCTTCGATAAGCTCCTACATTAAAGACTGAATAAACAAAGCCACGGATAAGTCATCTGCAGTATTTCTCACCTCTAGTATTTATGCCAACCCAGTTTAAATAACGAGAAAGCTTTGTGGATATATACGACTTTCCTCGCGCTGGCAGGCCAACCAACACAACCACCGTTTTCTCTTCAGAGGAACAATATTCTACAGATATAACAACAGAACAAATGTGACTAACTCCAATCAGCAAGAGGTGCGATATCCATAGATATGCGACGATCAAAAGACATAGTACGTTAACGACGACCAAACAAATCCAGATCGCGCCGGAAAGTGAATGTGTCAGGAAACTTTCTCACAGCGCGGCTTAATACATACAGTCGCCAATCATCTTTCACCCACCAAGGTTTTTCCATTAAACAATACTGATGCAGTAAAACACACCTAAAACCTAAATAATTTAACACTGTTTGAAATCAAACAACCTCGCCAGATAGTAGCTTGCAAGGCTACTAGCTTACAAGTTTTCTCGCCGGTCCGAAGCCCGGGTAAAGAGGGACGGATGGGGCGTGGTGCTAGCAACTCCCCCCGGTAAAACAACCAAATCGCTACAGAAACTTCAACGAATAAATATATTCAAAATTCTAAAAACATAAGCAATAGCCTTACTTTTCGCTGGAATCGGGGAAGTGAAATGACGCAGGCTGGTGAAAGCCTTCGGGAAGCCAGTCAGCCGATGTGTCTTCTTTCGATGAAAGCAAAAGTAAGGATGGGTACCTGGAATGTTCGTACAATGTACGAAGCCAGCTGGGAAGGCTGCCCAGATAGCCACTGAAATGAGAAGGTACAGAATAGAAGTGTTAGGAATCTGCGAAAGCAGATGGAACGGAACTGGAAGGTGATTGACAATCTCTATCTCTGTATTATTTAAATAATTACTGTTGATTGTTAATATGTTTCTTATATGAATTGCATTAGAATTCCGCTAAATACAAATTCCTGAATTCCGCCCTCTCTCGGTTCTGGTTGGATTCTCGTAATTCGGTCATCTCGAAATACTAATACTACGATTACAAATAATCACAACAAATTGGCGTCGTGATGGAACTAAATAACCTTGGAAAATTTCCTATAAATGGTTCTCCGCGGGAGATTGCTGATTACCTTGAATGCTTCGATGCGTCGTGGATTTCAAGGAACGTTCGGGATGACAAAATACCAGCACATTTCATCACTGCTATTGGGCTAGATGCATATAGCCTAGTGAAGAATCTGGCGTTTCCAGATAAACCTATTTCTCTGTCATATGTCAAGATTCGTGAACTTCTGATAAATCACTTTCATGTAACTACATTTGAGACGAGAGAGAGGGCTCAATTCCATAAACTGGTTCGTGCTCCCAAGCAGAGGATAAGAGACTTAATTCTTCAACTCCAAATACAAGCTTCAAAGTGTAACTTTGGAGATCAGCTGCATACTCAACTACGTGATCGTCTAATTGCTGGAATCAATATTCCTAAGTTAGAGAAAGAGTTAATTCAGATTCCTTCTTGTACCTTTCAAACTGCTAAAGATTTATGTATTACATATGAAGATGTCAATAGTGAATACTCTGCTCCCACTACGTCAGTATCTGATGTCATGTTGTCCAAAGTCGAAAATACAAGTGTTCATGGAAAGCAATCCAAACTGCCGTCCACAGGTAATAGAATGCAGCGAGAGATCAAAAACATTAAACCGTGTTTATCCTGTGGAAAGTTACATCTACGAAGCACTTGCCGTTTTCGGGGTGCTAAGTGTCACAAATGTGGTAAAGTTGGACACATCAAGACTTTGCAGAAGTTCGAATACTTATGTTACTCAGAATCCTGATAATTCTTCCAATTTATCTGGTAAAATGCAGTCGATGTCTCTTTCAACTTTTCCCAATACTCAATCTCATCTAATGAGAACCTTCACTACAAGTTCAGGCAAGTCCCATTGTTTTATAATTGATACTGGGAGTACTGAATCTATAATTTCTAAGAAAGATTTACAATCGATTTGTAAGAATGTCCAGATAGATCCTACTACTAGTTCAATTACAGGCATAACTGGTCATAAATTACCTCTTATCGGGGCTACTAACATTTCTTTGAAATCAGACAGTGGTAATTTTGTAAATATTCCCTTTCTTGTTAGTGAATATGGTCCATCTTTATTGGGATTAAAAGCCCTTAGATTGTTAAATGTCGAAATCTCACTTTGTACTGAGTTGTTTGATGAATCTTTGTTCAGAGAATTACTTCTCCAATGTTCAAAGAGTGTAGGTGGTATGAAGATTCAGCCCATCCATCTTGAAATAGAGGGTGATCCTATCTTCCTGAAACGCCGATTAATTCCATATGGATTGCGAGATGCAGTTAAGAAAGAGTTAGACAAGTTGGTTGAGCAAGGCATACTTATGCCAGTTGAGTCTTCAAATTGGGCTACTCCTATTGTTACGCCACTAAAGGCTGATGGAAAAACACCTAGAATTTGTGGTGACTACCGCCTTACACTCAATAGTCGTCTACTACAGCAAAGTTGCACTACTCTAGAAACTGAAGACATTCTCTACAAGCTACATGGCTCAAGATACTTTTCCAAAATAGATCTAAAAGATGCCTATTTGCAAATTCCTCTTGATGAGGCGTCTAGTGCATTAACAACCATTAATACTCCATTTGGATTGTTCAAGTATAAGTTCTTGCCTTTTGGTTTAAAGGTTTCACCCGCAATATTTCAAAATGTAATAAATCAGATGATAGATGGATTAGATGGTGTTGAGTCATACCAAGACGACATTATAGTTCATGGTCCTAATATCGAATTGCATAATGAACGTCTTTTAAAACTGTTCAGGCGTTTATGTGAGAATAATGTTCTTGTTAATCCATCTAAATGTCATTTCACTTTGTCGTCTGTATCATGCTTGGGATACACAGTAGACTCCGAAGGTTTCAGACCTGATGCTAGTCGTTTGGCACCTCTAATTCAAGCACCGTCACCTAATAATATGTCATCGTTGAGATCATGGATAGGTACTCTTCAGTTTTACTCCAGATTCATTCCCAACTTCACTCAACGGTTATCTCCACTTTTTGAGATTGTCTCCAGTAAACAGTTTAAGTGGGAACAACAACATGAGAATATCTTGCGAAAAACTTTGGAGTTTCTTAATAAACAAGCCTTCCTAAGACCTTTTTGTCGAAAGATAAGTCTGTTCTCACTACAGATGCTTCTCCTATGGGTATAGCTGCAGTACTTGAGCAAAATGGACAACCTGTTATTTGTATTTCAAGACGTCTAAGTAAGAGTGAACAAGGGTACTCACAAACCCAGAAAGAAGCTCTAGCAGTTGTATGGGCAATAAGACGCTTGCACAAGTATCTCTTTGGTACTAAGTTTCACATAGTTACTGATCATCAAGCTTTGAAATTCATTTACAATCCAGAAAAATCTTTGAATAAATCATCTGCTGCTATGGTTCAAAGATGGAGTTTAGAACTAAGTGCATATGATTACACTATTGAACATAGATCGGCAAAGGATATACCTCATGCAGACTTCTTATCTCGTTATTCATTATTTGAAAATGCTGCTAATGATACTGATTGCTTATTAGTCCAGCCGTTACCGGTGGATCGAGTTCGACTTATAAATGATACTCGGAAATATTACGGATGCGTTATAAATGCAACAAAAAGAGGTTGGAATGTTCAGTGTAAGCGAAGATTTCCAGACTTTTATAAGCGAAGAGATGAGATTTCAGTCCATCCTGAAGGATTTCTATGTCTGAATGACAGAATTATTATTCCTCCAACATTAAGATCTGCGATTTTGGATGATCTACATTCTGCTCATCTAGGAGCTGATAAGATGAAATCATTAGCACGCCTAACATGCTGGTGGCCGGAAATTGATGCTGACATTAACAAAAGATCAAAGAGCTGTTCTAGCTGTTTACATAAAATGTCCTATGGGAAGTCATCGTGGACACCGTGGCCTGCATCTTGTGAGGTTTGGCAGCGTATTCATGCAGATTACTGTGGTCCATTCTTAAATTCATATTATGCTTTAGTTATTGTGGATTCTTATTCTAGATGGCCAGAAGTCATCATTACAGATAGTCCTAATGCCAAATTCACTCACAGAGCGTTGAGAAAGATTTTTAGTCGAGAAGGAATTCCAGATGTCTTAGTTACTGACAATGGTACTCATTTTACGGAGAAGAACTTCAATGATTGGCTCAAACATATAGGTTGTCGTCATTTGTACACAGCACCACGTCATCCTCAGTCAAACGGGTTGGCAGAAAATTTTGTACGAACATTAAAGAGTGCTATAGCATCAATGAGTCCTCAAAATCTTGATGAGCTAGAGAGATATGTGGATAACTTCTTACTTCAATATCGCAATGCGGAGCACACAAGTACCCATGAAAGTCCTGCAAAACTATTCAAATCTCGAATTCTCAAAAAGCATCTGATGTCCACGACTTCTGATGTACATTATTACAGAGGGAATGATTATAGACCTTCTATTGGTATCATACTACAAAGAATGCGAAATCGAGTGGTGAAGATATTAGACATCGAAGATAATTCAGTTCATAACAGACAATTGGATCAAGTGAGAATAAATGAGGTAGGTCGTTCCAATTATTATTGTAATGACTCTGTTACTAATCCTGATTTTGTAGATAATTCAGAAGTAAGTCTAGATAATACTGATGGATATAATATCACAGAATCAGATAGAAGATGGCAGAGACTGGCAAGCGAAGCGCGATATTAGTATAGATACGCAAGGAGATATTCGACGTGTGGCGGATGTGGTGATTGACAATTTCTATCTCTGTATTGTTTAAATACTTACTGTTGATTGTTAATATGTTTCTTATATGAATTGCATTAGAATTCCGCTAAATACAAATTCCTGAATTCCGCCCTCTCTCGGTTTTGGTTGGATTCTCGTAATTCGGTCATCTCGAAATACTAATACTACGATTACAAATAATCACAACAAATTGGCGTCGTGATGGAACTAAATAACCTTGGAAAATTTCCTATAAATGGTTCTCCGCGGGAGATTGCTGATTACCTTGAATGCTTCGATGCGTCGTGGATTTCAAGGAACGTTCGGGATGACAAAGTACCAGCACATTTCATCACTGCTATTGGGCTAGATGCATATAGCCTAGTGAAGAATCTGGCGTTTCCAGATAAACCTATTTCTCTGTCATATGTCAAGATTCGTGAACTTCTGATAAATCACTTTCATGTTACTACATTTGAGACGAGAGAGAGGGCTCAATTCCATAAACTGGTTCGTGCTCCCAAGCAGAAGATAAGAGACTTAATTCTTCAACTCCAAATACAAGCTTCAAAGTGTAACTTTGGAGATCAGCTGCATACTCAACTACGTGATCGTCTAATTGCTGGAATCAATATTCCTAAGTTAGAGAAAGAGTTAATTCAGATTCCTTCTTGTACCTTTCAAACTGCTAAAGATTTATGTATTACATATGAAGATGTCAATAGTGAATACTCTGCTCCCACTACGTCAGTATCTGATGTCATGTTGTCCAAAGTCGAAAATACAAGTGTTCATGGAAAGCAATCCAAACTGCCGTCTACAGGTAATAGAATGCAGCGAGAGATCAAAAACATTAAACCGTGTTTATCCTGTGGAAAGTTACATCTACGAAGCACTTGCCGTTTTCGGGGTGCTAAGTGTCACAAATGTGGTAAAGTTGGACACATCAAGACTTTGTAGAAGTTCGAATACTTATGTTACTCAGAATCCTGATAATTCTTCCAATTTATCTGGTAAAATGCAGTCGATGTCTCTTTCAACTTTTCCCAATACTCAATCTCATCTAATGAGAACCTTCACTACAAGTTCAGGCAAGTCTCATTGTTTTATAATTGATACTGGGAGTACTGAATCTATAATTTCTAAGAAAGATTTACAATCGATTTGTAAGAATGTCCAGATAGATCCTACTACTAGTTCAATTACAGGCATAACTGGTCATAAATTACCTCTTATCGGGGCTACTAACATTTCTTTGAAATCAGACAGTGGTAATTTTGTAAATATTCCCTTTCTTGTTAGTGAATATGGTCCATGTGTATTGGGATTAAAGCCCTTAGATTGTTAAATGTCGAAATCTCACTTTGTACTGAGTTGTTTGATGAATCTTTGTTCAAAGAATTACTTCTCCAATGTTCAAAGAGTGTAGGTGGTATGAAGATTCAGCCCATCCATCTTGAAATAGAGGGTGATCCTATCTTCCTGAAACGCCGATTAATTCCATATGGATTGCGAGATGCAGTTAAGAAAGAGTTAGACAAGTTGGTTGAGCAAGGCATACTTATGCCAGTTGAGTCTTCAAATTGGGCTACTCCTATTGTTACGCCACTAAAGGCTGATGGAAAAACACCTAGAATTTGTGGTGACTACCGCCTTACACTCAATAGTCGTCTACTACAGCAAAGTTGCACTACTCTAGAAACTGAAGACATTCTCTACAAGCTACATGGCTCAAGATACTTTTCCAAAATAGATCTAAAAGATGCCTATTTGCAAATTCCTCTTGATGAGGCGTCTAGTGCATTAACAACCATTAATACTCCATTTGGATTGTTCAAGTATAAGTTCTTGCCTTTTGGTTTAAAGGTTTCACCCGCAATATTTCAAAATGTAATAAATCAGATGATAGATGGATTAGATGGTGTTGAGTCATACCAAGACGACATTATAGTTCATGGTCCTAATATCGAATTGCATAATGAACGTCTTTTAAAACTGTTCAGGCGTTTATGTGAGAATAATGTTTTTGTTAATCCATCTAAATGTCATTTCACTTTGTCGTCTGTATCATGCTTGGGATACACAGTAGACTCCGAAGGTTTCAGACCTGATGCTAGTCGTTTGGCACCTCTAATTCAAGCACCGTCACCTAATAATATGTCATCGTTGAGATCATGGATAGGTACTCTTCAGTTTTACTCCAGATTCATTCCCAACTTCACTCAACGGTTATCTCCACTTTTTGAGATTGTCTCCAGTAAACAGTTTAAGTGGGAACAACAACATGAGAATATCTTGTGAAAAACTTTGGAGTTTCTTAATAAACAAGCCTTCCTAAGACCTTTTTGTCGAAAGATAAGTCTGTTCTCACTACAGATGCTTCTCCTATGGGTATAGCTGCAGTACTTGAGCAAAATGGACAACCTGTTATTTGTATTTCAAGACGTCTAAGTAAGAGTGAACAAGGGTACTCACAAACCCAGAAAGAAGCTCTAGCAGTTGTATGGGCAATAAGACGCTTGCACAAGTATCTCTTTGGTACTAAGTTTCACATAGTTACTGATCATCAAGCTTTGAAATTCATTTACAATCCAGAAAAATCTTTGAATAAATCATCTGCTGCTATGGTTCGAAGATGGAGTTTAGAACTAAGTGCATATGATTACACTATTGAACATAGATCGGCAAAGGATATACCTCATGCAGACTTCTTATCTCGTTATTCATTATTTGAAAACGCTGCTAATGATACTGATTGCTTATTAGTCCAGCCGTTACCGGTGGATCGAGTTCGACTTATAAATGATACTCGGAAATATTACGGATGCGTTATAAATGCAACAAAAAGAGGTTGGAATGTTCAGTGTAAGCGAAGATTTCCAGACTTTTATAAGCGAAGAGATGAGATTTCAGTCCATCCTGAAGGATTTCTATGTCTGAATGACAGAATTATTATTCCTCTAACATTAAGATCTGCGACTTTGGATGATCTACATTCTGCTCATCTAGGAGCTGATAAGATGAAATCATTAGCACGCCTAACATGCTGGTGGCCGGAAATTGATGCTGACATTAACAAAAGATCAAAGAGCTGTTCTAGCTGTTTACATAAAATGTCCTATGGGAAGTCATCGTGGACACCGTGGCCTGCATCTTGTGAGGTTTGGCAGCGTATTCATGCAGATTACTGTGGTCCATTCTTAAATTCATATTATGCTTTAGTTATTGTGGATTCTTATTCTAGATGGCCAGAAGTCATCATTACAGATAGTCCTAATGCCAAATTCACTCACAGAGCGTTGAGAAAGATTTTTAGTCGAGAAGGAATTCCAGATGTCTTAGTTACTGACAATGGTACTCATTTTACGGAGAAGAACTTCAATGATTGGCTCAAACATATAGGTTGTCGTCATTTGTACACAGCACCAAGTCATCCTCAGTCAAACGGGTTGGCAGAAAATTTTGTACGAACATTAAAGAGTGCTATAGCATCAATGAGTTCTCAAAATCTTGATGAGCTAGAGAGATATGTGGATAACTTCTTACTTCAATATCGCAATGCGGAGCAC